GGCTGTTTTTCTGTCTGTGTCTCTCTGTGTGTGTGTGTGTGTGTGTGTGTGTCTGTCTGTCTGTCTCTCTCTCTGTGTGTGTGTGTGTGTGTGTCTGTCTGTCTGTCTTTCTCTGTGTGTGTGTGTCTGTCTGTCTGTCTGTCTGTCTGTCTGCCTGCCTGTCTGTCTCTGTGTGTGTGTGTCTGGCTGTCTGTGCTTGTCTGTCTGTCTCTCTCTCTCTCTGTGTGTCAACTAACAAACAGCCGCTGAAATACCTGAAGAATCACCTCGCGCGAGTTTGTGATCTCTGCTTCTCCGCTTTGCAGCAAAATAGTTCAGGTTCATGACACAAACACACTCGCACAGAAACTGTCTGCTTGAAGCCTCTACCTATATGTTGATTTGTAATAAGCATGTGTTTATGTGTGTGTTATTACTAATATTAGGTGACCAAGTACCCAGTAATTCACCTCTGTCACCTACTGGCAAGTCGCCCGGTGCCTTTCCCTTCAGAAAGCAGAAGAAAATACCAGCAGCCCTTAAAGAGGTGATGATCCAAAGAACTATCTTTCATATGCCAGGCAAAGCTGACCGAATCTAACCTAATATCATAAAGCCAGTTTCAGGTTTACAGTCTGTTGAGGTTTGTCTTGCTCCAGCCATTGAAGATTGTCTCGTGCTGCCTCTTGTACAGTTAATCAAACTATCTAAAAGACGTGCAATATGTGAGGTATGCTGTATAAATCTATAAAAAATTGGAGCATCAATGCAAACGTTATGTCTTTTTACAAGCATTTATGGCAGGTGAAAAATGCACTCTGACCAATGCATAATTACATTTCTGTGGCTCCTGAAGCATCTGAAAACCCTGTTTAACGAGGGGTGGTTTCTCTGAGGCGAGACGGTAGGCAGAACAAAATCCCCCAAACATTTGGATGAGGAAAAAAATAATATATGGATACAACTCTCTTAATCATATACAGTATACTGTATAGTATTTATGAACTATTGATTCATATTAAACTTATTATATTCATATTACTTAAATACTTTTTACCTTACATAAATTTAAGAAAATATTTCAGGATGGTAAGGAATTAATAAGGAATTAATACTATTTTACTTGATAGAATCTCTAGTTGACATTTTAAGAATCATTAAGTTTAAACTATTGTTAAAAGCTGTGTAAAAGTTTTCAAAACCAACATGAACTTAGCAGATGTTTTAGAAATTTTCAAAATATATATATTTTTAATTACCACATGCACCAGATTTCTTTCAGTCTGTCTGTCATGTAATTGTTCACTGCATGATGTTTGCGTGTGCTTATGCATGCATTCTTTTCTCTTGGCATGTAGGTTGTGTGTCAGGCCTGTTCAACTAACAAACAGCCGCTGAAATACCTGAAGAATCACCTCGCGCGAGTTTGTGATCTCTGCTTCTCCGCTTTGCAGCAAAAGAGTTCAGGTTCATGACACAAACACACTCGCACAGAAACTGTCTGCTTGAAGCCTCTACCTATATGTTGATTTGTAATAAGCATGTGTTTATGTGTGTGTTATTACTAATATTAGGTGACCAAGTACCCAGTAATTCACCTCTGTCACCTACTGGCAAGTCGCCCGGTGCCTTTCCCTTCAGAAAGCAGAAGAAAATACCAGCAGCCCTTAAAGAGGTGATGATCCAAAGAACTATCTTTCATATGCCAGGCAAAGCTGACCGAATCTAACCTAATATCATAAAGCCAGTTTCAGGTTTACAGTCTGTTGAGGTTTGTCTTGCTCCAGCCATTGAAGATTGTCTCGTGCTGCCTCTTGTACAGTTAATCAAACTATCTAAAAGACGTGCAATATGTGAGGTATGCTGTATAAATCTAGCTGTATAAATCTCATCAATGCAAACGTTATGTCTTTTTACAAGCATTTTTTTACAAGCATTTATGGCAGGTGAAAAATGCCTAATTACATTTCTGTGGTTCCTGAAGCATCTGAAAACCCTGTTTAACGAGGGGTGGTTTCTCTGAGGCGAGACGGTAGGCAGAACAAAATCCCCCAAACATTTGGATGAGGAAAAAAATTATATATGAAGAAACTCAGGCAAATCCAGAGATCAGTTCTCACTCAAAAACAATCATTGTTTTTGTGGAAGACATTGACACTTTCATTCAACGTGGAATTAAATTGAATATATGTGTCACGAATCCGGTCCATGAACTTCCGTCTGCTTGCCACCAGAGGTCACCCTTCCACTACTATGGACTCTTGCACCACACCACTGTTGCACTTCACCCGGACTACAGTTCCCATCATCCATTGCACTGATTACACACACACACAGGTTGATTGCACACGGCACTGATTGCACACAGCTGTCATCAATCACACCTTCCCTATATATACACTCACTCTGATCCCTTCCCCCTGCCGAGTATTGTATAGCGTTTATCACTCTCATAGCGATGGCTACTCTACGGAGCCTGTCTTGTTTTTCCATAGCCTTATCTTAGTCTTGCCTTGTCTGTTTACTCGTGTCCTGATCTTTGCCTGTGTATCTCGGATTCCCCCTCTCGTCTTGCCCTACTCGGATACTGTTTGCCCCTGCCTGGACCTTTGCCTTGTACCTGGATTTATCCCTC